AAAGAGAAGGTAGCATAGGTAATTTGAAGATACGTTTAGAATTCATCTAGAAGAGATTCAGAGACTTCAATCCTCCACTTTAACGCAAAGGTAATGCAATTTGAAATACATACTATTTGGTGAAGAATAAAAGTAAGAATTAGTGAAAGCTGTTCAAAGTGTGAAAATTTGTTATCTAAACTATATCTACCACTTCTCCTATGTTAATCTCTAAAGGCTGTACAGTAATGCAACCAACTTCAAATAAGTGCCTACCACAAGACCAGGACAACCATGAGCTCTTTTGTTTCAATTCTATCCTACTGCTTTGTGGACTGACCTTGAAAAGTGTAATTTCAAGGGATGGCGGGGGACAATCTACCTTCGAAAGCATTTTGAAAAGAATAAATCATTACTAAACAGATAAAATTATTTCTTAAATTGCAAGAAAGTCACGTTAAATTCCTCCAAGTATACAAAGTTGTCTTTACAGATGCAGACTTGGGAGAACAAAAGGAAGAAACTCCTCTTTTACATGGACATTGGCAAATATTAAAAGCTGTAACCTACCCATAGATACAAGCTTTTAAAATTTGATTCTTTCTCTTACCAGACACTTGACTCTTTCCTTAGGTAGGTCTGTGTTTGCCATTTAAAACAAGTCTTGCAACATTTTTTAGAAACAAAGCAAAATGTTCTGTAAATAAATGAACTATTATGCTAAGTAAACATGCCAGAGGATTTCAAATAAAAACCATGGGGACAGTAAGGGGAGTACAAAGTGTCCAAGAAGAAATTAAAAACAATAATGTAAAGCCATAAATCATGTGTTTCTGCCACATGAGAATCACCCCAAGCAAACAAAGTTAAGGTTTGCGGGCACAGTGCAATTTGCTACCTAATTCAAGGGCAGAACTCGTAGAGAATGCAGAGGGATGATCTAAACTGATGAAATTACTGTGAGCACAAGGAAAAGAGAAAAGAAAGCCACCTTGCAAGCTCAGTTTCTTCCTGTCAAATAAAATGCACCAAGGGCATGCCTGATGAGCAAATGCCTCTTATTCTGCACAACCTTCTGTCAAGGCATTATTAAATTAATTCAAGAGGTGCAACCTGAACAAATACTACTATGGACCAGAATAATTCACAGCTGAGAAGTACTTCCCAAATTCTCTAGTATTTACCTTCTTCTGGGTCACAGACCTCTCTTAAAAATGATGAAAGCTATATATTTCTCCCCAGAAGCACATCAAGGGTATCAAGGCAAACCTCAGAGTTACATGTGCAAGCATCGGGACTTGGTGAGTCCTGGGTTAAGAATTGTTGATCATGCCCATGTTTCTCCTTTTAAAAATCAGGAAGTTGAATCCCAGAAAGGCTCAGTAATTCGTCCCAGGTGACCCAGCCAGGAAATCATAATACCGCTGGCACTCAAACAGCAAGGTATTCCCACTTCCATCAAAGTGCCTGGCCCCATCATTCGCTAGAAAAATTCTATGCTTCTGTATATCCATAAAACTCAGCTACCATGTATGTTGTTTGCATTAGCAATAGTAATGGGTTAGAATAGAGACACTTAGCTTCCTTTCAAACAAACAAAAAAAACCCAACCAACTACCTTGTAAGTATTATGGCTTAACCTGTCTTGGAACTTGTATGCAAATTATTATTTTGTGGGATGCCATTGAAAAACATTAAGGTTCTTAGTCATATTTCACAACTTTGAGATTCAGTAGTTCTATAGTGAATAATCTTACAGCTGTACTTTTAATATGTAACCTGAGGTCTCAGTGATATCCTACCAACTCTAGCTTCAAGCATTCTTTCATAAGCACGGATCTTTCTGCAAGCCAAGTTTCATTTGGAAACTCCAGTATCTAAACACAAGATGAAGGTGGTAGTGGGCTTAGGGAGCTGGCTTGAAAATCACTCTTCTTGAAAGCACAGCACTGGTAAACGGGATCACACTGCTAATGGGACCAGCGGCTGGGTTTGAGCACGCCTGGGTTTTTCTCTTATTTATTTATAACATACTTTGTTTTGATTTCCTCTAAATTTCCTTCCAAATCCAGTATCTTAACACAATCATTACCACCATCACTATAAACAGTTAAGATTTAAAAGGCACTTATGGTGTTCCAGGCTCTGTTCTATGAACTTGTTCAATTCTCTATAAGATTAAGTATGATTAATCTGTCTATAATAACTATTGAAGAAACTGAGGCAAAAAAAGATTATGTGATAATAACTGGCAAAAATTATATATATATATAAAATAAACACACACACTTTCTTTTATGTAACCTATACTACAAAATTGGTAAGTAGGAGCAGAAAGCCAAAATCCACTTTTTAACCCATGTATGTATGGGCACTGATTAGGGCCTATGTGATACTATGAAATCTTTTTGACGGTATTTAGTCCTGTTGTTAGGGGGATATCAGTGACATGCATGTATGTTTTTGCTTAGAAAACTTATCTCCCAAACTAGATTATTAATGCCCTGAGCTCAGGGGTTGCTTTATATTTTTCTATTTCCTCTTCTACAAAACACAGATTTCAGTTGTGTAGATCTTCACTCAATTACAAGTGATCTTCTTCTGAGTCCTATTTGCTTTCAAGTGTCTTATCTGAAAACACAATAATTTCACTACAGCAACTCTGGAAATTAATATTTTTCCCCAGAGTCAGTTGCTGGAAGGAGCAAAACATTTTTTTCCCCCAGTTTAGTGATTTGACATTTGCCCTTAAGAGTGAGAGACTGTATTTTATTGTCCATATGAATAAATATCCATCTCTGGATGTTTCCTTTCTTCCGTGTCTTATTAAAGGATCTTGCCATTTCTTATTGTATCAACTGATAGGTGAATGGCTGGTAATAAGCAGATGGGTAAAGACAAGAATAGAAAGTCTTGCAATGTGCTTACAGTACATACATATGCCACTTAAAAATTTTGACATTTCACAGGAAATGGCACTTATTAAGTCATATTCTTTAAACACTTCAAAAATAATGATGCTGACAAGTTATGTTTCATTCTTCCTCTCTTTTTTCCCTCTTGGGATTTGCTGGGGAGTCCAGGCTAACCTCAGACTCTCAATCCTTCTGCCTCAGCCTCGCAAGAATTTTTCTAAAATGGCATGTGCATCTCAGATATGCTCAGTCTGTGGTCAGATATATAATCATCTGCCAGGGGCACTTCACTGCCATCTATTTGAAATGTGCTCTCTAGGGTCACTGCAAGTTCCCCCAGCTCGTCCTCGGACCCCACTCTTACAGAAATACTTCCATGAGAGGTGTAACTTCCCAGGGACCTACTTTAACCACACAGAGCTTTTCATTAACCGGACATCCTTACAAAGGTATACAATACAGACAAAGCGAGTCCATAATATGAATTGAGATTTAATTAGGGTCAGGATACATTTTGGTCTCTAAATTTCAACAGAACAGACCAGCTACAGCGATGGTTCTTTCTTTCAGAAAGTCATGAAACACGTAGAGCTTTTCTCACATGTTCTGAATCAGTTTCTTGGAGCAAGACCGAAGTATCTGTGACTTTTATTGGGCACCACGAGTGACTGTAATGGTCAAAGCAGAGTCCATCACTGCTATTTTCCTTCAACAAACATTCAGTGAACTTTTCTATTCACAAAGCCAAAATTTAGAATGTAAACATACATTCTTCCTTGGGTCATAAACTAACAAGAAAAGAAGGAAAGGCCCATGATCTATGTTTGCAAAAAATATTTCCTCCTTATCTCCGCCCCCAAACTCAACACCTAAGATGGGTGTGCAGTAGGCAAAAAATTGTAATGATTTGCTTACCAGTCCTTCAAGTAAAATATGCAAATACAGTTAGCTGCTGCATCAAAGAATTAATAATTAATTTTTGCAGGGCTAGTCTCACTAGGCAGTCTCACTAGGCAAATAAGGGTTTTAAACATGGACTGTCTGAGGACCTCAAAAAATCTGCACAAATTTGTTGGGGGGGTTTTGGGGTGCATCTTTTTTTAATTCTACACTGAGGCAAAGACAGCCATACTTCAACTGCAAGAGCAAAGCTTCGTTTCAAAATTCTGCTGTAAACCTTTAATAAAATGTGTAACCCAAGTATATATATTAAAGGTGGGGAAGAAAAACAGAGCCCTGCTACTCGTACCCTAACATCTCAACGACACTTTTCTTTCTTTTCTCTGTACAACCCTCACTGCTTCTTTCTTTCTGCATCTCTAGTGTTTTCTAGTCAATATTCAAATGACAAAGGGCCACTTCAAGGGTTATTTTGAGCCAAGAACTTACAGCAATGCTTCTCACACATGGTTTGTCTTGAAATCACATCTAGTAGCTCAAATATATAGGAAAAATCTCCTCTCCACTATGAGAGTTGGAGAATGCGTCCTTGGTATCTTATGCTCTCTTTCTCTCTGGTTTGAGTCTTAAAAGAAGCATCCGGGGAAGCAGGCAGGAAGCTGGCAGTGAGCAAGAACAGCAATTTATGTGCCCTTTGATGAGAGAAGGAGGCTGAGGCGGTGAGTCTGTCCCATACTTGGGTAATAAGTTGCTCCTCCAACTACACTGATGGAGCAAGCAAATACCTATCCATCACACGCCAGAGTCTTTGCACTGATAGAGAGAGGGGTCCTGTCGTTAAGCTTGGTGGAGAAGAGCAAGGAGGCGTGTGAAGGGGACACAGACACTCTGAGGAACCACTCACATGATAATGGGGAGCGAGTGAGCACCAGTGCATCAGCACCCAGTGATCTCTTTCACTGCCCGTGACTGAGTGGGCAAGACCAGCAAAAGAACAGTCATTGCCACGGAGTGCAATGGGCCAATTTGACCAATAAATCTTCCCAGAGCTTAAATATCTCCCTACCGAACCCTTAGAGATTCTTCAGTGTCACTCAGCGATCCCTTTCCTCATCTTAGGAAAATATGAATCTGGGACAAGGAAATCCTAAATCTTTCATCAACAAGCACAAGAGTCATAGCTACTGAAAGGTGTTCTTTACTTACCAATTTTGTGACGTCTTTTACATTATCAGTCACAGGATTCCCGCAGATCTCTTTAGTTTTGACGAGAGGATTAAATAGGAGCAATTGAAGATAAATGCAAGTGATAATCCAAGTCTAAACAAAAACAGAAAAATTTCTTGGTGCTCATCAGTTAAAATCTGTAATCATGCAAACTATTAACAATGTATGCCCTCATGTGGAAAAGGCCAATCTACCATATTAAAAAACAAAGGTGTTAAGTACAGATAAATATTAAGCATGCAAACTGGTCCCATCAAATTAAAAATAAGTCCCAGTTAAAGTTTGTTGGAATTATTCTTTCAATGACATTATTGTTAACTTTTGTCAAACGCTTTCTACACCTAATTTCTTAAGGCAATTAAGAATAAGCTTGTAGCAACATGTGAAGGATTTATCACTTAGGGTGACTTCTAAAAACTAGGGAATGCATACAATTTATACCTTAAGGCACCAAAAGAAACTTTCTTTTACTATTTTAAATGTAGACTATTTGGCAAGTAGCAGCATAAACTCTAAACAGTGCTTTAATCCAGGCATCTACAACAGCTCACCAAGATAAAGAGAGGGATATGTATTTTTAGATCTAACACAGAATTTAACCTAATTTCTGAGACAACAAAAAAACTGTGTGGAATGTTTTTTACCCATTTAATGAGGAAATATATTTCCTTAGCTAGTAGGAAGATATTTTTAAACCATAGCAGAAAGTAATCACACACACACACACACACGCACACACACACACACACACACCTATGCGAAAACAATACATTCTACCATGTATTACAGTTATTTTACGCACAATTTATTTTCTCTTATTGTACTATACTGTGGAGTTTCATAAACTTGGGCATGTGATTTCTTTTTTTTCAGCTTTCCTTATAACACATAACATAGTCCCTTGCACATTAAAAGAAGAAACAATATAACAAACTTGCTGGATGAATCAGTGGCCAAGCAGAAAAGTCTTTAAATGCTCTAATTCAATAACCACTTATTATTGAACATGGATCACGAGACAGGGACTGTACTGGTCACTAGGGAATCTAAGATGATAAAGATGCCCTTGAAACTCAGAGGCAGGTGAATAAATAATACCCACACCCTGTGATAAATGTTTTGGGAGCACGGAGAAGAAAGCAATTAATCAATTAATCCTAAGGGGAGAGCTTATGGCAGGAAAGTAGCACCATGAATAGCCAGAGAGAAAATGGGTCTCTGGCTGGATTTGGGAGTCTGCAAGTGTTGATAAAAGACAACCACACAAGGAAAGATAAACAGCATAAACAAAGGCATGGAGATGTGAAGATATTTTAAAATATATGAGATTGTTTTAATGATCTACAGCATTTTAAAATTGCACAAAAGCCCAGATGCACGTGGCTAGAAATATGACATAGCTAGCCATATGATAAAAGGAACTAAATTATTATTTTCAATTAGTATCTGCACATTAACTAATTAGCTATTACACTGGATCAAATGGATAATTATCACTTGCTGAAATTTCTAGCAGTGCTACCTACGTAGATATGGTAACTTGTAAACAAAACTAAACTTTTTGTACCTTTACCAATATAGTCTCTTTTTAGCAGGAATCGTGCTTAATTTTATTTAAGGGTACTCAGACCACTATGGGGTCAGATTGTTCATATCACCATTCCCCTTAGATCACCATGAAGACCAATATGTATGAATGATTTGTTTGGGGAATTTCTCATTTTCAGAAATCAGAACATAAAATTTTGCCTATTACACAGTTGTCACATCTGTAAATATTTATGAAATCCTAAGCGTTCTTTTATGTTGCTAAGATGTAACTCCCTTTAAATATATTCCTCCAAGGCCCTCTTTCCTGATATGATTCGAGAAGCCTCCTTTAGGAAGTTCAAAATGGCCAATCTCTCTAAGAATAAAATCCATATTCTAGGAGCTAGGAAATATGAAGGCAGAAAGTGTTACTTATGGCCAGCACTGGATGAATATTTTTAAACAATTGTTCATTCATTCATTTACCAAATATGTATCGAGCAGTAACATATGCCAGGCACTGTCCTAATTGCCAGGGTTATATAATGAACAAAAAGTAAAAGTCTCTGGCTTAAAGCTGTCCTCTTATTGACAGAAGATACCCATGCGACTGGCGTATACAACATGTCCAAAGAAAAATCAGAGCCAGGTAAAGGGGGTTGCAACGACAATGACTACTCTGGTGTATCAGCAGCAGTGATCTAAGGGTCACACTGACAGTCACCCCCACAAGACACCAAAAACGTCACCCAACATGAAGCAGCACACCTCCTTTACTGTGCTCTGCTTTATTGCACTTCACAGACACTGCAGTTTTTACAAACTGAAGCTCTGTCTATGTTGACCAAGACTATTGGTGCCATTTTTAATAGCTCAGAGGATCACTGGCATTTTTTAGTCATAACGTATTTTTAATTAAGTATGTACACTGCTTCTTAGACAAGATGCTATTGGACACTTGAGAGAGGAAAGTAGGGTGTCAACAACTTTTATATGCACTAGAAAACAAAATGTTTGTGTGACTCACTTTATGGCCATATTTGTTTTATTGTGGTGGTCTGGAAATGAACATGCACTATCTCCAAGGTATGCCTGTACTGAGGTTTAAGCAATGATTCAGGACAGGCCACAAAAGAGGAGGTACAGCACCAGAAGACAGATGTCTCATGATTTCCTGGCTACTCTAATGTCCGCAAATCACTGCACATCTGGAACATATGCGCCAATGACAGATGACACTGGGTTGAGTATGCAGACCCACTCCCTCAGCTTCCATCTTCCCAGCGAAGCAGTCCTTTTTAGACATTTAATGAGATTCCATTCATTTTTCTGAGCACTCGCCTCAGCCAACAATAAAGCACATATATGTACCTGCTCTTCTCCCTAGCAATTTCAGCAGGATACTCTTGCATTAAGTATGTTTGTAGACATTTCTTGAGTTTTTGTTGCAAGGAGGGTTATATGTGAGATCAAATGCCCACATATCCCTGAATCTAAAGAAAAGGCCAGGGAACAGGCTTTTACCCCCTTCATTCTTGAGACTGCAGTATGTGTCAAAACAGCTTCAAATGTTTAATAAGGTGACTGGTGGGTTCTTCATTAAAAAATCATATTTTACCAAAGACTGTGTAGAGCTATGAAGGCATCCATGCAGAAATCTGTGGGACAAGTATTGCACAGAAAGAAGAGAGAGAGAGAGAGAGAGAGAGAGAGAGAGAGAAAGAGAGAGTAAAACTAGTGCCAATGTCCCAACACATTTCAGGATCATTTCCATCAAAGCAATATGGAGAAAAGCTAGTCTGAAATGAATTTAGGAAAGTACAAGGTAGAAAGCAGCCAGAAACAGTGAACATAGGCAACTGTTTTGAAGGGACTTACTTCAAAGGAGAGCATGCAAATCAACTCACAAATAAAAGCAAAGTGGGGGCTGGAGATTTAGCTCAGCAGCACAGTGCCTGTCCAGCAAGCGCAAGGTCGTGAGTTCGATCCCCAGTACTGGGAAAAAAAAAAAGCAAAGTGGGGTGGTAGCTTACAAGGTAGTGAGGGGAAGGAGATTTTTATTTGTAAGAAGATAGAACTGCCAGGATATCTATATGTAACTGGTGGCACAGTTCAGAAGACAAGAAGCTGCAGGAGCAATGACCTTGAATGGACAAGGAGGAGTGAGATTGGGCTTTCAACACAGAGGGTCTGGCTTTCAACAGACATACACACAGTTCATCATCACTGTATAGCAGAATATTGCAAGGGAAATGCAGATGCTACACAGTTTTTTATTGGTGTCTTTTAAATAATACAATATTGAAGCTAAAATTTTGGCATATTTACAATATATCAAGCAACTGATAACAAACAAAATTTAAATTTCATATATCCTAATTTTAAAGATGAAGAAATTGAATTACAGAGCTATTTGGTAAAACCAGGAGTATAATCTCAAGTCTGCCTAGTGATAATTACTATCCTTTTACTTACCTCATACTATCCCACAGAACTCACACAAATCTGTTATATCATTTGTGAGCACTTTAATGGCATTATCTGTAGAAGTTTAATAATTTTTCAAATACCAAGCATATGGAGACAAGTGTGTTCCATATTCCATGTGCAGCTGAATATTTTACCTTTTCCAGATGATCATTTTTTTTAGTGTGTGTCCTTTGACAGTTTCTTAAAATACATTAACACAGACTGCTATATAATTGTAAAATGATTCCACCTGGATGGAATCATTTCTTTTTATTTCAGTGAAGTATAAATGTCTGTAAAGATGTGATTTAGCTCATTTTATAGGATTCTAGTTGGTCAAGGCTAAAATTAAGTCTATGCTAATTCAATAATACTCAAATATCCCTGAAAAAAAATCTATCTTTTTTGAAGTACTTTCAAAGCCATTATAAATAAACTCACATTGTAATTGAATTTTGCACATACTTTGCTACCATTAAGGAATACGCCCCACTTGTAAAATTAAACAATTCATTCTAGCACAGTTAAACATTAGGATGGAGGCACAATCAAGTTAGAAGCACTGAGAATTCTGTACAGCAGTTCTAAAACCTCCTTCATCATTCTTCTTGGAGAGGTCAGAAATGTAGAGCCTACTGTTGTATATGGAAAAATTTCAGTATTAATTATTCTGTATGGCAACCTTTCTAATAGATGCCCCACCTTCTTCATGATCTCTTAAACAGTGGGGAATCACCTCTGGTGATTCAGGTTCACCAAGTAAAGGGACAACTTGCATGTTGTAGTGAATTCTTGCTACTACATACAGTTGTTCCAAATTACTGTACTTTGTTAAATTACTGTTTTTAAATTTTTATTTTAGTTTTTGTTTCTTAGCTTTCCTGTTTCCCTCTGACTGTCAAGCCATTACCTGCAATATATTCTTACAGCCAGGATGCCTATTTTGAGCCTGCTGCAGGCTTCCTTAATGGCAACCATAACAGATGTCCCACCCATTAATGGAGCTTCGAGTAGGCAAGTGTGATGGCCCCACCCTACTCCTGGAACTTGTGGCTGTATTTCCTTCTGTGGAAAAATGAACTTTGTAGATGTGA